ACGCAGAGGGGCACATCTCCGTCGCCGTCGTTCGCCGTCGCGGCTTCGTCGGAGCTCTCGACCTTTGTGCCGGGGACCGCTCCTCCCTCCCGATGGTGGTCCTGCGGTCGAAGTCCCTCTGGACTTGCTCTATTTTCCATTTTGTTGCTGTTGATTTCTGCGCTGGCGTTGTTGCCGTTGATGCAACTAAGAAGCCTGTCAACTGATTGCAAATACCAGCCGCATTGTCTTATTTGCAGCATGTCATGTGCAAGCTGCCACTGCTTTTGTCGTACCTGCTGCTCCAGCTGCTGGTGCCTCGTCCGTGGGGAGCGGTCGGCCGCAGAGGTGCTGGGCGGTGTCGGCCGGTGCCTCTGGGGGTGCCAGAAAGGGGCCGTGATGACGAGCGACACGCCGGGGGGTGGGGGTCCCTTCGTCGCCGCGGCGGGATTTTTTTCTTCGCATCGGGATTTGCGAACGTCGCCTGCAGGAGGCACACGCAGCTCAGGTCTTGCAGCACGCGCAGCAGAACGCCCCGACAGTCTTCGGAACATCCTGGGGAGGCCCAAGAGGCTCCCGAGAGAGCCCCACCTCATTCCTTGCCTCGTTCCCCCCTTTTTTGGGCCTCCTCGGAGGCCCTCGTCGCCACCGCTGGATTCGCCTGGAAATTCTGGTCAGAACGCAACCCGGGAGAGGTCCAGGGAGTAGCGATATCGGTACCTTCTGGTCGCCCCCGAGAGACACCCAAGCCCAAGATTGCCGTTGTTTCTGATGCAATTGTTGCTGCCTGCTGTTGCTGCTGTCGCCGCTGCTGCTGTCGCTGCCACGGGGCACAGGATGCCGGATGAGGGGTGGGTGGGGAGAGACGCAGGCTGCTGGGAGTTGCTGGGAAGTGCAGGCGGCGCATGGGAGGCCCGATTACCCAACGTGTTCGTTTCGAACGCTCGGGTCTATGTTGGACCGCGGGGCTGCGGTTGCTCTCGGCTCGCCGGTCCTGGCCACCCACGGGTTCGGCTGGCGCGATTCCAGAAGTCCCCAGTTCACAATGGTGAGCTCGGTACTGGCCCCTCAGGATTTGTCAGACATTATCTAAACGTGGTGTAAGGTTTCCGATACCGGCGCTAGAACCTGTTCTAGTGTGTATATTTTTGGCATAGGACTATACACACGTATTTATATATTATTATATAATTATACAATTATATATATATATATATATATATATATGTACACATATGTATTTACATGCCCTCCACAAATTTGTTTTTGCAGCTTTTTCAAACAGGCCTTTGAGTGGCACCACCACCCACATCGTTTGCGATACAACTTTGGAACCATAACTAAAAACCAACAATGCCGAGGTTGAAGATTTATCGGATGGCGGCGACCAAAAGTTGATCAGCTTGTACTTCAAGAATGTTCGCCACAAGCCGGTCAACCTTCTCGATGACCTCGAGGCGAGTTTCGGCCACTGCTTGGGCAAGGCCCAGTCGCCGTAACCCGGGCTTCAACTCCGCTTGGCGAGATGTCAAGATTATGCCCCCAATTCTGGGCATAGTTCAGACACTCGCATTTTCTGCCTCATCTCGTTTTCAGGGCCAAGCTCGCTCGATTTTGTGCACGTATCCAAGCCAGTGTGCTTGATTATGCGTATGTGCACGTGCACACTCACGCTTGGTGACGACGCTTATGCCGCAGTCCAACGTTCGTTTGACCATGCATGTGGTGTTGCTTGTGGCTGCGTTCACACTCTTTGCAGCTCTAGCCGTGCTCCTGGAGATCATGGTGGCCACGCCAGCGCTCTCCCACTACATCCTCGCAGTAGGGCTGGTTGTCGCTTCGTGATGTCCCGCGGACTCGGCCAAAGGGGTGGCGCCCCGGTCCCGCGGCGGACGCCTCGTGGCGCGGGGCGCTCCCTCGTGCCCACTCGTGGGTCCGGGGCCCGGTGCCCAGCACCGCCTGGCGAAGCACACCGATGCGGGCCACGCTCCGCCTCCCGCGCCTCGCACAGACGGCATCAGCCCAGCTCGTCGGAGGTCCGCACGGATCCCTTGTGACCCCCCGATGTGTTCCACATCCCGTGACGAGCGAGCAACACACACCCATACCCATAGGGGGGTCGTTTTGGAGGAGGACTGGCTATGGGTATGGGTGCGGGTTGTCGGACCCTGGGGAACGCTCCCGTTCGAACGAGGACCCCCGTCCGACAACACGCACCCATAGCCCTCTCCGACCCCCCTATGGGTATGGGTGTGTGTTGTTGGTTCGTCATCCCGCTCCCTGTGCCTCGAAGCAGGAAAACCGGCATCGACATACTGTCTCGGAGGTCCGCGCGGATGCCTTGGATCGGTGCCAGGCCCCCCCCCCCCTGGCGAGACCTGGCGCCGCCCTGACGCGCGGAGCGCGCCAGAGAGGGGGTCCAGCACCGATCCAGGAAATCTGCGCGAACCTCTGAGACTTGTTCTTGATGCCATGTCTTGCTCCCCTATTCCTGTGACGAACACACCCCTGTGGAGTCGTATGTGCGGCGGGCCATGCCTGCTAGGTCCAGGAGGTGCTGCAGGTGCAACGTGCGAAGAAGCGCAAAACGCTTGCAGGTCGAGAAAGAGTGGCAGGGGCATCGGGTCATCATTGTGGGCCAGGGCATCGAATTCTGAACGTGGCCCAGCAGGTGGCAATCGCAGCGAATTACCTCCGCTCCAAGCCTTTCAGATCGAGAACGTTTGGCAGAGACGTAGGGTTCTCACCATGCCAAGTCCCCAGGTCCCCAATCTTCATCAAACATGTGACTAAATCATTGGGCCCTGCGAGAGCCACACTAGAGCATTATCATCCTCTCATTATGATGATATATATGCTTCTGGAGTTACACTTGTGCATCTGCTCATGGGTGCGCATGGGCCTGGAGCCATTACAATATCTTCCTTCCGTATCCCGACCTTCCTGCTCACGTGCACACATCTACGAGCACATACTGTCAAGTTCTGTAGTGCCGTGAACGAATGTTTGGCGACGGTGCCGTCCCAAAATGTCTTGGATGCGAAATTCTGAACTTGCAGAAATTTGTTTTGGTGACGGCACCTATGGTGAACAAGTTAGTGCCCCTGGTGTGCGATGGAGATGTGGCAAAGGGCTGGCATCAGAAGCGCTCGTGAGCCCCAAATTCTTCCTCGAGTGGCTTCATCTGGCGGAGGCGTCGTCGAAAACTGCCCCATGGACTGATCTCAGCGAAGCATACGAAAATACGAGTACGTGACATTTTCCAGAGAGCCGCTCCCTGCATGGTGAGCGTTTTCTTATGCATTCTTTTGCCAATCGGCGCGGGCCCTCGCACGCCCCCCCCCCATGGAGATCTTGCCTGTTTTTGGCGCCTGTTTCGGGCAGGCGGGGTCTCCCCCAGGATAGACGCACGACTCCAAACGGTCGCACTAAGCAGAGGTCCGGAGCCAGACCCCCCCCTCCCCCCCCCCTCCGCCCCATGTCGAAGCGCAGAAGAAGAAAACGCTCCTCCTGATCTCCACCCGCGCGCTGATGCGCCCTTCGTATATCGCTCCCTTCAGGAAAAGGACACAAGCGGCATGCACATGCATTTCCGACTGTCCGTGAGATCTTTTTTGGATCTGTGCTGGGCCCCCCCGGCGGCGTCTCCGGCGCCGGACGAACTAACGAGTGGATCCGCCGAGGGATCGTCGCGATGTCCCCGAGGTGCGAAAGGCACAGTGGTGCGCACCAGGGCAGCTCCAAAAGTGCACTCCGCGCGTGCTCGCTCTCGAGGACGGCGCGCCCCAGATCCGACGCAGTGGCGTGTGCCCCAGGATTGTTACGGGTGCATTGTGTGTGTGTGCACGAGCTCGGGGACGGTGCGCCCTAGGGGACACGCAATGGTGCGTCTGCCTCTCTACAGGAGGAATGCTCTAAAATAGTTAAAGCAAAAACGTATTCTGGGGACGATGAACTCGATTATTTGTGACCTTTTTTTGCTGTGTTTGGCTAGTCTTCATTTTTCCTCCTAAATCCGTCTGTAGGAGGACATGCCCGGCCTACGTGTACCTCCAGGTGTGTCTTGTCCGTGCCCTTTTCGGATTCTCAGCGTTCCACGCCTCCCGGGTCAGGAACCTGCCGCAGGGCGTCGGATGCCCACCCAGACAGGTGTCCGAGTTGCAGATGGCGTGGCAGGGTTTAAGGGTCTGGCCGTTCCAGGTCTGCGAGGTCCAGGAAGTGTGGCAGAGGCACACGGCTCTGAAGAACATCTGCATCGTGCTGCGAGATCCGAACAGCTTTAGATATTGCTCTTTGCTACGTGTTTTTTTCTGGAACAATTATGTTGCCTGTGATCAAGTTTATGATGACGACCGCGCGCCCACGGACCTGTGGCTACGGCCGCGTGCCCCTTGTCAGCTGTGCGTACGGCCTCACTTGTAATTCCATGCGTTTCCCCAAACCGTCCTCTTACCATTTCCTCGCTCTTCGAGCCGTCCACATCTCGCCCAAACAATCAAAATGAGATTCTGCATGATCTCCTGGCGCGTAGCGGTCGTTACCTGGGTCACACACACACACACACCCCGGCAACGGTAACGATCATACGGAGGGGCGGGGGGGGGCACATGTTGGTGCTCGCGCACGTACTATGACGATCCCAGCGCACCCAAGCCCCGACGTGCCCCACCCCGCCCAAGCGTTACCGTTACCCAGGGCCCCAACCCGTCCCCCCGGGTAACGACCATTACCAGAAAGAATAACAACATAGTCTCCATGAGATGGACATTTGCAGCGCCGTTGGGGTCGAAAGGCGACCATTTCGAACGGATGCACGATGTGTCAGACTCCTCTAGATGTGTTCGTGCGCCTCGTGTGTGCAGATTTTTCTTGTGCCACGTTCCACTGGGCAGGTACGTGAACCCCGACACGACGGCGGTAAGAGGGGTTTGGGACACACCTGCTTTTGTCCACAAGTCGGGCGCTCAGCCCAGCCTGCTGCTCCGACCAGCACGGAGCACCCGATTGCCCCCCCCCCCCAGGAGTCTCCCACGGATTGGATACCGATCGCGCGTCCGATGCGGCCAGGTGCGGAGGCGGATCCCCGACAGCCGGATCGGATTGTTGTCGACCTGTATACATGCATTGGCACTGTAAGGTCAGGTGGCTACCAGAACACCAACGACCATTACAGCAACATGTGCTTCTCGCACAGGCTCGATCATCAGCTCTTCACCGTTGGCGACGAGAACCTGAACATGTGCCATTTTCATCCCTTGGCGGCCTGGTGGCGCATGCTCTTCTGCGAGGCTGTTACCCGCATTGGGTTGAGCATGCCAGACATAAGCTCGTTTTGCAGCGATGAGTGCTGGTACCAGGGGAAGACGCCAGAGTACGACGGCGCGCAGACATGTGGACCATTGAGCACGACAATTAATTACGACGACTATGTCGCCAAGACAGCTGCCCGGCCATTCGAAGGTTAGTACGCCGCATTGACATCGTGGGCAGCTTGAGCAGTAGGCTCTATCCATGATTATGCTTTTGGACGCGAGCCCTTTGAGTCTCATGAGGTCACCCTGTTTTCAGCGAGGACGCATCCAATGTCGGTGTGCTCTCAGAGTCATTGAGATGACGCCACACCCGCCGAGTGGCGGGGCGCATTGGGATTATATGAGGCCTTTGGGGCTGCGAGGGGGATCTACTGAGGCCCTCTGTCTGCATTTGGGGGGCCTTCTTGAGGCGCCTAGGTCCTTTTGAAGACCCTTGTGGGCTGTCTTTGCCCTCCTGGAGGCGTCTTGGAGGCTGACTGGGCTGTCTTGGGCTTCTCGGGGGGCCCTCTTCGACCGTCTTGAGGTTATCTTGAGGGCCTCCGGGGACGTGTTGCTGAGCTCTAGGGCCATTTTGAGGCCGTCTTGGAGCCCTCGCAAGAAGTTGCGAGGCCACCTTGAGCCGAAAAAGCATGGAGTCAAACGGGGGGAGGGCAAATTACAAGATGCACCGAGTTTGGGATGCACGGGGCCTCTGTCGGGGCCAGTACTGGTGGCTCTCTTGAGGCTCGTCTGGGCTGCTGACGTCGACCTGGAAGCCCCCATGGGCCAGGAAGGTCATCGGGAAAATCCAGAACCGTACCTTGTACGCCAGACTCGTTTTGCCAAAGCGGCAAACGCGATCCCCTCGGGGAAGGATCTGGGGAGGGGCGAAGATCTGGCACGCCAGTCGGCCCGATGGGTCGGCAGATTTGCGTCGGTTAAACCGATACGCACCGTGGCCATCTTTTTTGCAAGGACCCGGCATGTAGAACTGATTGAATGACATAGCAGCAAGTAAGGTGACGGCAAGTCCCTCGGCTCTCAGCACCAGCGTGTGTTGGCATTTGTTGAGAGAGGGTTGTTGCCAGAGTTCTTCACCATTCTTGTAGAGCAAGGTCCACGTGTTCCTTGGGCGCTGCGCCACGTTCCCCCACCTCCCTCCCTCTTCTTAAGTTACACTCATTCCTTACATCCGACTCTTCCTCATCAGTTCTCCTCCTCCTCCTCCTCCTCCTCCTCCTCCACATCATCCTCCTTCCCCCTCTCTGGCCACATTAGCTCCCCCCCTTCCTTACTTTTCGCATCACGCCTCCCCGCCTCCTGCTAGGAAGCCCAAGCTGCGGCACTAATGGGTACGTTCGCGTACACCATTGGATAAGCACACCTGTCACGCATGTCCAGATTCTCTTACCCTCCGAGGGAGCTCAGCGGTAGCTCTAACATAAGCTTTCGCACACTGCGACGGCTCCCAGGTTGGCACACCTCTCACGGGCTGGCACCGAATCGGATACACAGATATCGCGCCCCGTTGGAAGCCCCAACTGTCCCAGCGAGCACGCTTATACATTGTATCAATGCGCAGACTGCCACGATGTCTTTTGTGGGAACCGAGAGGGCACGATCTCAGATTAGGCCAGCTTCCAGACTGGCACATTCAGCATACATGTCCTACCCCACAGGGATCCCCAACCACGGTTCTAGAGAGCACGATCGCATACTGAGTTGGGTTGCTTCATTCTTCTTGTTCCTGCGTAGCCCCAATCACCGACCGGGGGGGGCGTGATCCCACACCGTGCCAGCTTGCACCGGTCGCACATTTCTGGACCCATCAGAGCTATGTACCAATTATTCCCACGTTTGTCTGTCACCCAGGTTGGCACAACCCTCCCGCACTTCCCACGCCATGGTGGCGCCCCCAATTTCAGCCCCAGCGGGCACGCTCGCATGTTGGGCCTGTACGCAGACTGACCTATTCCTGCCGCAACTTCTACCTCGAAGGGTTTCTGAACGATTGCCGCAGTCGGCACGTTCGCAAGTTGAGCTGGCACCCAATCTGGCGCACCAGTTTCACGTCCCCAAGCCCAAAAGGCAGAAAGGGGCCGAATCTAGCATAACCGCCACGCACTTCTCCATACCACAAGAAGTCTCATCTACGGCCCTGGTGGACGTGACCGCACACTTGCCAGGAAGCCACTTATTTGCTAGGAAGCCACATATTGACGTTACTAGCTGGCCATACCCTGCCTTCCCCACGTGTTGCCTCCACCACTCGCGACTAGCAGGGAGCAAGGGTCGTGTACAACGCCACGGTAATTCAGCTCGAGCTGCCCCTGGCTCCATTTATGATTCTGAGAGGCGCTGTAGGTTTCCCTTTTCGACAATGTCGTTTTCAAGGCTCGACCAGCTTGGAGTAAACACCAACGCTGCTTGTACGCCCCAGCAATCATCTAATTGAGTCCCCACACAGTGCAGTTTGCGGTTAATATCGGTACAGGCACGGTGCTTCGCTTAGTCTGTCCGACCAGCCCTCTCTCTATATGTATATCTCTCTCTCTGTGTCTCTTTGCACTGGTTTCATTTCGTTCGCATTGCATGCTAATTGACACTGCCGTCTACATGCGACGCCGGTCTTAAGAGGAGGAGGTACCACAGCAGCAGAGGCATGTTCTGATAGGGGAAAAAGTATGCTCACCATGTAAGTAAGCTGCCGTCCATGGGGGACCAGGGGATTGGCGTCCAGCGCAGGCGGACAAAGGATGGATGGAGTGGGAGGCTTGCGAGAATGGAAGAGCATTGGTCACAGCGGTGACTCCGATGTCGTTCGTCGCCTCGCTAGCGACAAAGTCGCCCCGAGAAAGACCACGTCGATGGCGGTGTCGAGATCTGCCGCGGCATTGGCGGCAGCGGCGGCACTACAGTGGTGATTCCAGGGGCTCCCGCGAAGCAGGCAGCTGATGACGATACGCAACGCGACGCATCCGGCTGTGCATGCTGGGCGCCCGTTGGCGAGTCTGATTGACATGATCCTTGGCTGTCTGGCCAGCAGTATGGCCACCACTAAGTACCATTGTGCAGACTGGCCAGGGCCGCTGCTCCAACCAGCACAAGAACAACAAACATATTATCGCAGTCGAACTCAAGGACCACCTGTGGTCCATGCGTCCGACTGCAGGGCTTCGCCGTGTCCCTGGAAAGTGAAGGTCAGAGTTGCAGCGCTGGCAAGATCTGCCGCTGTGGGCGACACTGCCAGTGAAGCACGTCATCTGCTTGGGCACCTTATGGGCGTCTTAAACCGCGTCCCGCACAGATCGGATGCAGAGCAGGGGGAACCAAGAGGATGACAGAGACGAGAGAAAGAGCAGAGCAGGAGTACGTCTCTTGCTCCCTCCGCTCGTCCTCAACCTGCTCGCGCTCCTCCCGAGAAGGAATCCGATGAGACGTCACAATTGCGGTAGTCGCTCCGTCGTCGCATTCAGGCCATGTCGATCGCACCAGGGATTTGTTTTGGTTTCGGTTTGTCGCACCAGAGGCGTGTCCTCGTAATGCCCTCCATGGTGCAGTGGGCATGTCAAGACACACTCCGAGAAACTTCGAGAAACTCTTCCGTCGCCTGCAAACTGACGACGGGGGCGCTTCTCGAAATGCCTCGCGCGGGGGCGGGCGGGCGCAATTCAGGGAAACCCCTCCGTCGCATGCAAACTGGCGAGGGAGGCGCTTCGCAAAATTGCCCCCCGGGGGAAAACGGGCTCAGTTTCGGGTTGGTGCGCACTGGGGAGTTTTCAGAAATTCAATGCTGGTCGCCTATTTTGAGAAACTCCCCTGGGACCACCCCAAGGGCAAGCTCGAGTGAGTTTCTCGAGATTCTGCATGGCGCCGGGCCGGAGTTCGAGAAACTCCCTCGAGCCAACACTTGGGATGGTCCCGGGTGAGTTTCTCAAGATAGGTTACAAGGGCGCAGTTTCGAGAAGCTCCTAGGTTTTCCAGAGAGGGTGGGGGGCGAATTTCGAGGAACTCCTTCAGGACCACCCTTGGGGCGGTCCCAGGTGAGTTTTTCGAAACGGCCTCCGCCCGCAGGGCGGGATTTTCCCCGCGGGCGCCCGCCCGCGGTCGACTTTCAGGAGCATCCCTCGGGACCACCCCTGGTAGTCCCTTTGGAGTGGTCCCAGGGGAGCTTCTCGAAGCGGCTTTCGCCCGCAGGGTGGGATCTTCCCCGCGGGCGGGAGCCCGCGGCCGAATCTCGAGAAACTCCTTCGTGACCACCCTTGGGGTGGTATCGGGGGAGTTGCTCGAAATGGCCTGAAGTCGGGCCTGTCCCTGCACAGGAGGAGTATTCAAAAACAGCCGAAAAGTAGTACTGGGACGATCTTGCTAGCTTTGTTTGATCATTTCTGAGTGCTTGGTTGGAGATCTGCTTTGTTTTTCCTCCAAAATTCCGCCTGTCTGGGGGACACGCCCGACCCACAAACGGCCTCCGCCCGCAGGGCGGGCCTGTCCCCGCGGGCGCCCGCCCGCGGCCGAGTCTCGAGAGACATCCTCGGGACCACCCTCGGGGTGGTGCCAGGGGAGTTTCTCGAAGTGGCCTCCGCCCGCCAGGCGGGACGTTCCCCGCGGGCGCCCGGCCGCGGGCGAGCTTCGAGAAGCTCCCTCCCCTCGGGACCACCCTTGGCGCGAGGGAGTTTCTCGAAACGGCCCCCGCCCGCAGGGCGGGGCTCTCCATGGAAAGCAGGGGCGTTTCTCAAACTTGCGTGCCTGTAATCTGTTTTGAGAAGTTGCCCTGGGAGGGACCGCCTCAAAGGTGGGTCCGAAGGGGTTTCTCGAAATCCGGCCCACCGCCGATGCCGAAGTTCGAGAAACTCCTTCGAGCCCACCCTTGGGATGGTCTCAGGAGGGTTTCTCAAAATAGGTTGCCAGCATTGAATGTCTGGAAAGTCCCCCTGTGCGCACCTGCCCAGTTTCGGAGCACCCGTCCGTCGCCTGCAAAATGACGACGGAGGCGTTTCGTGAAATTGTCCCCGCGCGGGGACAGGGGCGCAATCTCGACCCATTCTTCCAACTTCGCGTACCCCCACCAGCCCGTTCGGACACGTGGTCCATGAGAGTTGATGGGAAAAGGGACGAAGCGTCACATAGAGTGAAGTAAAGCGGGCAACCAAGATCAAGAGAGAGACCTCCGG